ATTCACGGGTTCTCTAATCGTCTGTGCTCTAGCCATCGCGGCAGGACCATTGAGGAAAAATCAAGTAGTTCGTAAACCCTGCCCCCGTCGACCCCCCAAGAGCATGAGCGCCCTTGTAAACTCCTTGTTTAAGAGGTAAAGCTCTTAAAAATCTTTACGACGAGTTTTTTCAAGTTTCCCTAGCGGTGTTCCAATTGTAGTTGTGACATTTAGTAAGACATATCCAGAAAATGGTCAAGGTATGGAAGAAATGTTGTCATCTGTAGTACGACCAGTTGTCTGGTGAACGGAGTATACTTTCCCAATTTCCAGGAAGTGCAGTCTGCTCCATCTACTTCGGATAGAGCCTTGTCGTTTGATTCCGGAAAGGAAATCGTGCAGTGCCAGCTCTGCAAGCGTTGGATGCAACCCGCGTCTTTGATGAAACACAGCATACGTTTTCATGCTGAAGAGAAGAAGTCCGAATATTTCATCGTGTGTCCTCTGTGTCCGACGAAGGTGCGATTCCAAGAAGCTCTTGTCAACCATTGTCGCGATGTCCACGAAGACGAAGAATGCATTGTTCAAACGGAAATATTCAAGAGTGTAAAAGAGTATGAGGTGAGCTTGGTGTTTAGTTTAGTACAGATTTCAAAATATGCGCTGGTTAGACAGTGCAAAAACGATACCGTCGACTTCTGGAATGGATCAACCTTGGATCCTTCACGGAACATCGAAAAATTCCAAATTTTCGGTACAGTACACACTTACTATGCTTCCTTTACAGCTATTTCTGCTCTTTCTGGCTCTCTATTTGGTTCCGTTAATCACAGCATTTAATTATTTTTCCTTAGCTCCTATTCACCTCTTCAAATCTATAACTTTCTTTAACAGGATTATTTGATGGATCTCACTGGTAAATCCTCTCAATCGCCTGAGGTTCTTACCACACAGAGCAGATCAAATCTTTCATAAACTTTTCTTCTTGCTCAACCTCCTCCCCCGGATCCGAGACCTACAAAGGTATTTATCTGAGTCAGCATGTTAGACGTCATCTTGCCATCAATTTCGTGTAATTAACAGCTTTTGAACTGCTGATTGTCGGTGTCGGTATTGGCGAATTTCCTATTCCTTCACACTTTACTCGTGATCATTGCAGACTTGGAAGGAATCAGTCGCAAAAGCTTACTGTACTGCGTGGCTCAATGTGGGCGAACACGGAATTTTGCCCACGGAAATTACCTACTACCGGTGCAGCAGGTACGAACGTTTTCTGCCATTTTGCTTTAGGGGACGCATTCTGGTTGACTGTTAGGTGGGAAACTTGGTTTTGATTTCTTCTGTTGCTCAAAGAACATCTGCTGCAAAAAACTGGTATAAGTGTGTGAGATTAAAGTATTTTTACGCACTATTTAGAGTTCATTCCACTCGTCGTCGTGCAAAGAAATTGCTTCCGGGAACACAATACGGCTACTGTACTTCATTCTTGAATGTGACTTTTCAATTTCTTAACAAAAGTTCTACTAGAATTAGAGACATGATAATTATTGCACTGTCACAAGGGCTATTCAATGGCTAACTTTTGCGATGAAAAGGTAGCCCATTGAAAATTGACTTAGAGATGGTCAGTGGCGCACGAAGGATGGAAAGACCGAGAAAATGGCTTACTTAGACTTAGTTCCTCCCGTGCTGTTGAGCACATCGGGCGACGAATTCTTTCCATTGCTGACGATTTTGCGCAAGTATTTCACATTCGTCCCTAGAAACATCCATGGTCTTTAGATCATTATCGAATGTTCGTCTCCACGTGTTTCTGGAATGGTGTCAATCCCACACTCCAAGATCCCGAAAAGCGTCGAGCTGACAATGAGAAAGGAGGTTTTCAAATCCGCAGCACTTTCCTCACTTCTCAAAAAATTCTATCGTTCCATGCCTTCCAAAATACGAGCCGATCGCAAAATACAAGTGAGGGGTGCTATTTAGCCTGGTTCTAAGCCATTTTTCTCAACTCCGCCGTTGCCGGTACCAAGCCCGGATGAGGGTTGGGCGGGAAGGGCTAGAAACACTTCCGCCGTAAAAATCCCTTGATGCTACAGAAACGACGAATACATGTAATATTGCTGGATTGAGAAGGTCGGGTTTTAGCCTTTTGACGGATACTAGTGAATACTACATGTATTCAAATAGAATATTCGTATAACTTCGTATAATGTATCAGTTCAGCAATATTATGTATTCGTCGTTTCTGTAGCATCAAGAATTTTTTACGGCGGAAGGGTTGCTAGCCCTTCGCGCCAACCCTCCTCCTTTCTCATCCGGGCTTGGGACCGGCAACGGCGGAGTTGAGAAAAATGGCTTAGAACCAGGGAAATAGCACCCCTCACTTGTATTTTGCGATCGGCTCGGATTTTGGAAGGCATGGAACGATAGAATTTTTTGAGATGTTAGAGGAAAGTGCTGCGGATTTGAAAACCTCCTTTTCGTATGTATCCGCTGGACGCTTTTTTTCGGGATCTTGTGCGGCGTGAAGTGTCGTGTCACGTGTAGCATTGACACCATCCCCTGCGTACTGTCGGAGATGGAGAGGAGGGGGTCGTATATCTGAAATCGGCCCAAGCCACGGCTGACTTTGGCTGTGTGTTGCATGCATGAAAGTTATGTGACTGCGCACCATCCAGTGCTGATTGACATGAGTTGCCATTGTCTGTGTAAATTGTTTGTATGCCTATCACTCAAAGTCGCCAAATTCAGGAATATGTCTACGATGATGGTACCGTATTTGTGAAGTTCTGTGTGCGTCATATCAGTCATGATGTTAGCGCTGCTTCACTGCCTCTCACAAAGAAGGACAGGGATATAATTGCTAGCTATCTGAAGTTGAACGTCGACGAGGACAGCGTAAGGGACCTCATACGCGAAGATTACAATGACCCGAGCACTAGGCTTTATTGGATTCGACCTGCGGACATCAGAAGGGCTATGTCAAGTCTGGCATGGCAGAAACGCAAACAACGAGAAGCAGGCTCAACTACTTTCAGAAAGAGGTTCGTTTGCAACTCATTAGGAAAAATTTGGTATCGGTTGGTAGCCTGGTCAGTCGTAGACCAGTGATTTCTTTTAATCGCTCTTTTTTCGCAAGCTCATTTTTAGCCGGCCATCCATCATAGGCGGGCCATTGAGCCAGCACAGGGTCAAGCGTGCGTTGAGGAATCCTCGACACGTCGCAGGGGGGGGTCGTATTGGCCCGCTGGGTGGAAGAGATCGAGCCATTTTGATGCAGTGGGATCATCACCGTCGGAAGACAAATATCAAGGATGAGTCGATGCCAGGCCAGAGGATTTCCAATGAAAATGATATTTCACCCACACAAAATTTTCGTGATTCTGAGGCGTCCGGTAATTCTTAGTTACTTCAGTGTTTTATCACCACACAAGTTAAAGAATCTGAATTTCGCACGCTTTCCAAGAGATATTTCATCTTTCAAGTAAGACCCCGAATCGGAAGGGATGTGAGGTACACGGCGCATCCGAGAAAGGGTCTAGTTGTTGCGCGCGCTTCAACTACGGCTCCTTGGACAAACAACCTCAATTCAGGAACAATCGAGAGAATTCTGAAAGTGTCCGTGCGCATTTACAGGGAGGTGTACACCATTCAACATTGCGTTAACGGACTCTTCAGGGTTAAATTTATAAACATGTAACCTTTAAAGTTGAGAAACGCTAATCAATCACTTCTTAGAGAGAGAAAAGCAGTGATTCCAAATCTGCTCTTACTTTAGTACATAATCGCCCTTAAAAGGATATACAGCCGTTGAAATAGTGCCAATGTAGCGAAAAAGTACCTTTCGGCGGTACTCGTGCGAAAATCCTCAACGTAGCCGTTTTTTTAATACTGGACGTTTGGAGCAGTTCTAGTAAGCATTTGATAGAGCAAATCTTCTAGTTTATGATGGCGTATTTACTTTTCGGATTGGATGAGTTTGAACGGAGTTTATGGCTTTAGGAAGTAAAAAAACTCGCACTCATCACAAATTTTCCTCGTTAATTTTGCGAAAATCCTCAACGTGGCCATTTTTTGAATACTGGACGTATAGAGCTGCTTTAGCAACGGTTTGATAGAGAAAATCTTCTAGTTTTGTATGCCATATTAACTTTTCGAATTTGACGAAAATGAAGCAAGTTGTTGCTTCGGAAAGTGTAAAAACTCGTGCTCATCTCGAATTTTCCTCGTTATTTGATCTAAATTTGTTATTTCTTATAACTTTTTGTAATTTCAGTACTGATTAGAAAAAGCTCTTTCACAAAACTCCAAATCTGCTTTCAGATTGAAAATTCGTCATATTTGAAGAAAGTTATAATCATTTGAATATTTGTTCAAATTTCAATAGTAAATAAGCTGCTCCACGGTCAACGCCAAAGTCCAGTCAACACACAGCTGGCGAAGGCGGTTAAAAAGCTTCTTTCAACTGAAGGGCTACGTGCAAATTGAGAACCACAATCTGTGTAGTACTAGAATTTGGTAAGTCTTGTGGAGGAAATAAATAAAGAAGAGATGTTGTCATAGTATGCCATTTTTAGTGGCTAGTTTGTCGTTTTCTGGTCTGTTTCTCGTTTGCTCGTTTGGTAGGACTCATCAATAATGATTATTCTTTGACTTTTTCACTTTTGTACTTCTTAAACGAATTTTTTTTGGGGTGGGGTAGCAGGGCTTTTTTATGAGCAGTTTTGGGGGAGAATTAAACAAGCTTTTCAACCTTTTCATAGTTCGGCTTTTGAAGAGGGTTGTTTCATGGACTTCGGCCTCCGGCGGAGGGTGGTGGGGGGGGGGTCGTATTTCCAAATTTTCCTCGACGCCTCGCTTGACCCTGCTGCGAACCAATCGACAAGCTCGTATAACACCGAGTCAATGTCTGTTTCAACTTCTTCCCATTAACTCGAGAGCTTTGTTGGACTCGAGCCCTGCGAGAGCTCTTTGCCACTACACATTCGAGACATGAATTGTATTGTTTCACTGGGCTTCCAACGTTTACCAATGTGGGTGGAGATTCTCTGCCAAATTCGAACCTATGCCTAGCATTTCTCAAGCGAAAGCGGTAGTGTGATTTTTTTTCTTTTGTCCATTCGAATCTGTGGTGTCAATTTCTAAACGAAAGCGGCACGTTTCATACTTCTGCATCTGAAAATATCTTAAGGAAATTTGAGGGAGCGTGGCGAGTACGTTACAGTAAATCGTTAAACTAGGTAAATTACGTTAACATGAAACTAACTCAACCCACCATTACTGGATGCGACCACGTGCATCACGTAACAGACTATGACAAGTTGTGCTGTCAAGGGCTTATATTTTTTGAACGGATTGATTTCTTTTACAGTGCCACTGATGATGCTGCTGAAAGATCTTCGTCGCCCTGCAGTATATATGACGACCCGTTTATTCCATCTGTAGGAGATTCGGAGGAGCCTTCAAGTTCTACTGCCTGTACTGCAGATAAACCATCTCCGTCATGCAATGTTTATGATGATCCGTTTATACCCTCTGCGGAAGACTTGGCGGGATTGTCCAGATCACATGATGAGACCGCTGATAGTCTTTTATCGTCCTGTAGTGCTTACGAGGAGCCGCACGATCGTTCTGCTGCGGATTCGGAAGAGCCATCGAGCTTCAGTGTTGGAGACTGCTGACAAGCTGTTACCAATCTGTGACATTCCGGACGACCCGTCTATTTCCGCTGTAACACTAATGGAGGAAGCGTCTGCTGCGATGAATGAAGATGGTCGTTCCTATAACGAACATAAGACTGGAGCGAATAGTGTTTCGTCAACGGAGCCTTCTTCGTCGGTTCTGCCAGCGGAATCCGTCGTCCCAGGCGAATCGCTGCTTGGATGTCCATCTTGCGCGAAATTAAAGAAAAGGGTGAGTCCAAGTGTAGGCCTTATTTGATGCATTTCGCTAAGTTAAGATTCGATCGTTTAAGGTGGCTGAGCTTCAAGTCACCGTGGATAACCTCAAGAAAAAATTGCCACGGGTAGAAGAGCCTGTGCTATTCGACAATATGGTCGTCAAAGAGGAGATAAGCTAGCGCCTCGAGACTTTAGGCGGATCAATTTTACGGTGAGATGCAGTTAGTCTTAGATTGTGAATTAGCTTTGGGGTGTGGGATTGGTGGTGGTTTCCCCATATACCACTTGCAAATTTCTGTAATGGGAGGGGAAAAGGGTGGGGGTGGATGGGCGTAATAACTTCGTATAGCATACATTATTTTCTCCTCTTGGGATGTGATCCACGGAACATTCGATGAGCACACCAGACTATCATGAAACTGTTGTTGCTTGCCACACAGATGAGATCCCTGGGAGCTGAGGATGATGCTACCTAAGTTTAGCGGCATGCTCGATTTCTTACACTCCACTATACCAGAAGCATGCTGCGCTGTCCATACCCCTGTAATCACATGGTTTGCGGTCACGCAGTCTAGCTTGCGTAATAACGCGTCTTCTGAAAGGTTTTCCCACGCTTTTCAATTCTAACATGTGAACACAATTCGAAAACAAAGTATCGCGGCCAGTGTTACGGAACTTGAAACTTGACACATGCCACTGGCCGTCCTGGCGAAAAGTCATTACAGGTAAGGTAGATCTACTCAAGCAGCGTTCACTTTTAGCTTGCAGCGTGGGATTGGCACTGCACACTCATAGCCTGAAAAGTTGACCTTCACTGACTTATAGGGAAGCTTTTAGGCTGCTTCAAGCGAAGGAGTTACGGTAGGCGTCCATAAGCTTCAGCATGTGAATTGCTTCATATCCAGTCTAGACGTTCATAAGCTTCAGCAATGGTGAATTGCTTCATACTCATGGCGTAGAGGATGACAGACGAGCTTCTCCTGCTTGTCGAGTGGCATTTTATGGATATTTTGTTGCGACACTTCTACATGCGTTGTTTTTGTGAGACGTAAACTTTGCTAATGTGCCTGGACAGAGTGATTTTTGGTGGTCTCCCCGTATTCGTCAATTATACCCTTTGACTTGGTATTTCAGAGCGCGACGTCTCTTCTTCTACAGCTTCAAAGTTTTATCGCGGGATGCCTTACGATGCGAAATGGCAACACCCCCGGCAGAAGTCGTGTCGAAGAATTCTTTCAGTGGGTGGGATAGAGTAGCCCACGAGTAGCACAGATGTGCCGTTGTCGCGGCTCGAAAGTGCGCGACAATGGCGCTAGGGTCTTACAAAGTCAGCATTTGGCGACTAATCTTAGCATTTGGACGTAGCGCACACCCCATGACACGCAACGTGGATTACGGCGTAGCGGCTAATTCAAATACGCGCGGGTTAGTTGAGCCGTGGAGCAGGCAAGTTCGTACAACTCGTCTGGCCCCGCCCCTTTTTTTCAAAGGGGTTTTTGTTTAGGCTTCATCGACGGTTTTCTTTGCTTCTTTTTTTTCATTTTTAGTCAACATCGTCGCATCTATAACTTCATTACCATTTGCTGTGAACCCACAAATTGGATGTTGGGTTGCTGCTTTGAGGTCCACTTCCCCCTCCCCTCCCGATTCGACAATCTTCACTTGCCTCATCTTCATACCTCTTGTGCAATAGCATCCTGTATACCTAAGGCAGCATTAGTGAGCGACAAGAATAGATGACTTTCCGAACATGAGTTGTGCTAGGGATTTCACACGAGATATTGTTTCACTTATTCCACGTTTCCAGGAGCTTATTTTTGGATGCGTTCAACGCGATGCCTCTGCTCACATACTGCTTCAACGGCTTCATACTGTGTACATAAACAAATATAAAAATGATACAATAAAGCTTTCATTGCTCCATAATTGAAACACAGTAACAGTAAGACTTATGACTTCTGGTCTCCTCGTTGGAACTGTTGTTGCTATTGTATGAATGATCATAATTAACTAACAGTTCTACATGATTTCCGCATCCTTTGGCGTATGTTACCTCATACCTCGTATTTTCCAAGGCACTCGCTTTTACTCCATTTGTAGCAAATGCAGCATGTGAATTTTACATCTGTCTTGTTTCTCTCGGCGAGATGTGCCGTGATTGCAGATCAGTAACACACTTCACATCAGACTCCTTCAGTATCGTATCATACTCGATATCGGATTTTAGAGGCTCTCGCCAAGTGAGCTACAGAGTCTGCGATTACGGCACATTTCAATGCAGAAACAGAATGTCAAATATTCACCTACTGTTGACTTTCACAGCAACTCTTCAGTTTACAGTTAACACATGACACTCCTGAAAAATTCGTGAAAAATTCAGACTACACGGAATCCATCTGTCAAGCTTGCTAAAATTTTTTGGTCATTCCAATAGGGGAATTTGAAAGACAGGAACACACGGACTTCCTCTCCCTTACTGGAACAGACACAAACCTTCACTTGCTAAGTGTGTAGCTTTGGTGGAGCTTTCGCAACAACGTTCTTGATTTGACCACCTCCTTCTTTCTCAATGAACACAAGGGCACAAGAGCTTCCAGCACCTCGGCGGTATTCAGTAAAGTTTGTTGTGTCCGTGCTAGTTTCTTCCGCTAGGTCAACGCTACGAAACGGATCGAGATTCAACCTATTCGAGTCCACCGAACCCGGGGATTATGCCGACTTTCAGACCATCTAACGCTGTATGTCTTCCATTCACAAAATGAGCATGTACATGTGATCAGAATTACCATTTCGCAGCTGATTTCCTAGATCTTCACAATCAGCTGGGCAGATAGCGAATGATGAAATGTGTGGTACGTATTGCGGAGTAAACATAATTTAGTCGTAGATGATAATGAACTTGATGGTCCCGGTGAAATACGCCGCCTAATGCGCTGTCAGCAATCGGTTGTTCTCAGACTGAATTTCTCTGGTGCAGCTTCTTCACGCATGATTTGAGCCATGGGGCTAATCCTCGCGAAGCTCTGGCGATTGTGGTGGTCCGGTAAAGGTGGGTAAAGGTCCTTTTTGAGTTATTTATCTTTTGTGCTGTTTTGGCGCTACCTGCGTGAAATGTGGTTCGTGCTGTACTTAAATTGTTACTCGGATTTTCTTTCATTGCTTGTTGTCATTGTCAATGCTTAAGAACATGATACGATGCATGGTTATCAAGTGCAAATGTTCAATTTTCACAATTTCAAACTTTTGCGCTCTTTTGGTCAGAATTTTAAATGAGCGCTGCAATGAATATGCAAAAATGTGTCTAATTGGCATTAATCTGAATAATTTCGTTAGCTAGGACACATTTCCTGAGTTCTAACGTAGTGATTTTAGAGCACAAAGTCATCATCGTAGGGCTGGATAACGCTGGAAAGACAACTATTTTATACAACTGGTGAGTACTTTTTTGGTTTTCCTTTTCCATTTCCTCTCAGACATTCCTTTTCATCCTTTTCGAACGCTCCAAAGTTTTCCAATTGTGAATGCTGAAAAGGTAGAAACGTTTTTTCAGAAGGAGAGGAACTTTGAGGGAACCGAAATTGTCTCGGTGGTTCTCTACCCCTCAATCCCTCTCTCTCTCCCTTTAGAGCCTAAACCGAATCGTTCATAATGAAAGGAAATGCATGTTGTGGTTTTGAATTTGTAAGGCGCTCTGCATCGCAGTGCCTTCCTCTTATTGGAGTGAGCCTTACTTTCCGCTGACAATTTGGACCGCTTGAACGGCCATGACAACGTAGGATGAAAGACGATGAAGACGTTGGAGTTGCAGACAGCAGCCAACGTGGCATTAGGCTTGGATTGCGGACATTGCAGAAAGTGTGAGCAAAATAAGCCTCTCGGCCCCAGGTGATCTCCATCGAGACAAAAACGGCACAGCGTGTGCCCACCGAGCGTGCCCTGTTAGGTTTCAGCACTAATGAGTTGTGGAATTTCCGCAATCTCTACTTGAGCAACTCTGTAGTGCTCTCTAGACTCTGTAGTGCTTATATGTAGATTATCTCAACTGTGCTTTGAAGGAAGAAGTTTATTTCTATGAAATTTCAGGGTTACGGGTGATGTGGTTGATACGAAGCCCACGATCGGCAGCAACGTCGAAGAGGTTTCTTATCGTAACCTTCGGCTAGTTATGTGGGATATCGG